ATTACCTATACTAATGAGGCGACAAGAAAATGGTATCATTTTGCTAAATTATGACGATAAGATTTCTATTTAAGTTATTTATTCATCTGCAAAATCACTAAAGCAATACAGGTGATGGGGAACGAAAGTTCGCTTTAATAGTTATTACTCTTTTTTCAATAGTTTATTTAAAACCAAATACATTGAAATAAACATATGCTGTGAACCATTGAACTATTTTCTATTTTCACAGCGGGCTGAAAACTAAAAAGAAAAAAAAGAAAAAAAGACGCTACTCTAATAAGTGAAACAGTACGTACAGATCAGTACAGTGTAGCTTAAACAACTATGCATCATGGGAGTTACACTAGCATTCACATATTTAAAGAAGTTTGGCCCATGTGTTTTTCATTGCTCTAAGCGGTTCGATCCGAAAGCTATGATGCGAAGAGTATCAATTTTGTTGTTCAGGCGCAGTGTCATGCGTCAATGTTAATTGTCATCCCCTTCTGTTTTTCCTTTTCACGATGATCACTTTAAAGCATTTAGATATAATTTTAGCTAATCCTTAAGTACACGAAAAAAAGGGAAATCTATTCAAATGTTCGACTGAAAATCGTTTCGTGTTAATGACACGAGGAACGACTTAAGCAAAAATCCACCAACTGTTAATCAAAAGAATTTGTGATTTACGGATTATAGCTGGATTGGCGTTAGAAAAATCAAAATGCAAAATAATTTCCTTTAATTCAGTTGTCTATTATTTGCATCACTTCGTTACTCGCTTGCAAGATTTAATTCATCTACCTTGATTTTATAACAAGCGTTCTGCAAATGATTACTGAGTTTTTTGACTGCATGCTGAGCCAAGAGTCTTTTTTCTCGCAGAGCTTCGCAAGTTCTTCATATTCTTGTTGCTTGACCCAGGCCTTGTCGACATTGGTCTTTCTTCTGGAGGGAATTGTTTGCTTAGACGCTTACTTGTTGAATCGATTCGGACAAAATCCTCAACTTCTTCCACCTGCTATAAGAGCTTGGTTAAGGTGCCATGAGCTTATCAAGTATAGCATTATGATCCGTGTTGGCGCATCTCCTCTGAGATATAATATAGTAATAATAATAATAATAATAATAATAATAATAATAATAATAATAATAATAATAATAATAATAATGATGATGATGATGATGATGATGATGATAATAATAATAATAATAATAATAATAATAAAAGCTTTATTTATTAGGCATGTTGAATCAGCCTACAGCTGGTGTTAACTCGTGTGCAGCATAGTAATAACATCTCAGCTAGTAGACTCTGGTAGATACTAGTTTCCAGGCAAAAATGCACTCGGTCTTCCTCGAAGACCAGGCTTCCATCACGACAATGCGGTGGTTGGATTCAATCATCATCCTTAAGGATATGCGCAGTGCAAGTCGACCCAGGCGATCTTCTTTCATTGTTGACCACAAGTGATTTTTTCCTGTTCTCAATGCACTCTCACTGTAAGCCCTGGTTCAAACGGACTTTTTTATTATGCTGAGGAGTTGCATTTTTTTTTTTTCACAAAATGACAAGCAATTAATTAAAAGAAAACTTGCTAGCAGCTGAACTCCTTTTTGTTGCTAACTTTTGTCTATCGAGTTGGCTGTGCTTCGACATGGGATTGAACATTTACCAGAAATCAGCAGGAAAGGAGAAATTTATTTTTGAAAAAGGTATCATTTTCCTTATTTATAACCATCGCACTTTTATTTGGTCGTTTGACTTGCAAAATAAAAGAATCGTGATATTAAGAAAGCAATTTATTTATTACTCTTATTTGGCGCATGAACACAATTGCGAAATTGTAATTCCCGTTGTTTTCCTTTTCCTCAAACATTTTGATAAAATTTCGGGAAATTCGCAACTAAAAAAGTTTTTTTTTTAACAATGCAAAATTTAGGCAATTATCTAAGAAAATTTACACCGACAGTTAATCGAAAAGAAAATGGACTTGTAATGGTAAGATTATTGGTCGACTGGCGTAAGACAACCAACTTTTATTTTATTAATTCCTTGTTATTAGTAGAATTACCGACGCCTTTCTCATTTGTTCTTTGACCAACTGATTTCGCACTTTTAAGCTTGAGATGCATCAATAGATTTTTCATTAATACCTTTTTTTCATTGAAGAACACTTTATTAAGACCAACTTTCCGCCAAATTTGTGATGTATTTATCAACACGGTTAAACATACGCATTAACTATTTTTAAGTATAGAAAATAAAAGCGAGCAATACATAATCAACGAGCATATTCGTGCACGACAAACGAAAAAGATAGCTTTATCAAAGCAAAAAAAAAAGATATGAATTCAAGCAAAACCTCACAAACAGAGAGTGCAGTTCATGGATGTGGACTGACCTCGCAAGGAACTGTTGATCATACATCCTCGGAAGTTTACGGCTGGCTTGTCTTCATCACAGTCATCAGCATCATCACATGTCCTATCACAGCTGTTTTGAATGTACTGATCATGATTGCTGTGAAAACTAAAAACCAAGTGAGAACCAAGTCCAACATTGCACTAGCTTGTTTATCTTCTACTGATGCGGTTATGGGAGTGATCGGTCAGCCTCTTTTTATCAGTTGGCTTATCGAAGAACTGCAAGGAAACACATCCGGTACGTACTGTGTGCTAATAGGTTTTGGTAGAGCAGTTTTGACAGTTTTGGGCATCGCATCATTGTTTCACCTGGCTATGATGAACGTATATAGAGCGGTACATTGCCATCAAACATTCACTGAGATACGAAATCATAGTCACTGAAGCTCGTCTGATTTGTGTTTCTGCTCTCTTGTGGACAATAACCCTGCTTTCAAAGTTTTTCACAAGCAGCAGTGACATTAAATTTGACATTGGCCTAACATCACTTTGCATTGCCACTATCTTCGTCTGTCAAGTTGTGCTCTGTTTCGAAACACGTCGCCACGAGAAAGAAATAGCAAGTCACCAAGTCTCGGTGGAAGCCAGAGAGAAATTCTTAAAGGAAAAAAAAGCTTTGAAACTAACAACAACCGTAATTTTTTGCATAATAATTTGTTATTTGCCAATAATAATTTCCCGGAGTCTTACATCAACTTTCGCCATAAATTCAGTGAATTCAGTATACTTTGTTCATTTTTAGGCGCCTTTGCCGTAATTTCCCATTCTTTCCTTAACCCGCTTATACATTGCGTTCGAATGAAGCAGTTTAGACTTGCCTTTAAATAAAAAAATTATCAGTATTTGGGAAAGGCAATTAACAGGCTGGAAATTTAAATTGAATTAGAGGGTACAGCGACGATTGCCGGCATTGGCATCAGGGTTGACAAGGTTCGACTCCCTCTGACAGCAAAGAATTTTACCAAAAAGTGCAGTGGCAGATCCGCCACTGAAGTGTGATGCACGGGCGTTCAGAGTTTTTGTTTTTCTCATTAAACTTGTGCTTTTATTTTGGATTTTCTCGTTTCCATTGCCGTCGTGGTTGATCAACCTCGTTAGGAGGGATTCCCCACTAAACAATTCTTGATATGCAGCGAAGATGTCGTTAAAAAACCGACGATTAGATGGGAAACGCACGACCAGGGCGACGTCCGCAGGTACCACAGAGGCTCATAAAAGGTGACCTTCATTTACTGTCTATTGGAACAACCAGTTTTGTACTCTGACGATTACCTTTTAAATTCTGTAATAAAGACTCAGTGAATGAAGGCAGTTCGACAGATGAGAGGGTCGTTTTAGCATTTTGAGCTCATCCTTTTTTCGTTTATAAAATGTACCTTTAAGATCTGTGTATACTTTGACGGCTATGTTTCAAATAGAAGAGTGAAGGTAATCCGAAAGAGGGGGCCACAAAGACAAACTAAAATGGTAAAATCGTTTTCCTTTCATTTCGCAAAATAATTTTTATGGGTATATTCAATTTCGAGACCGCCATCAAATGTCCATATTATTGACACATTCGTCTGAGAACGTTTGTTAAGAACGGCCGAACCCGATTTTTCTTACTGGATGCCCTAATCCATATACTTTCGTCAAGCGAGAACCTTTTTTTCGCCTAGAGTCACCATTGTCTTCGCTTACGTTGCATATTAATAATCTATTCTTAGATATATACATTTCTTTTATGAATATAAATATATATTATTTACATCAACTCTGACTGGTACTTGTGGTTCAGAAAATTAAAGTAGAACTTGGCTTGAGGGATACATCATTCAAAGTAATTTTCAGAACTTTATGACAGCGTTTAATTTTTAATGATTTTGCAGGACTTTTTTTTTTGTGCAGGACGTTACATGATCTATGATCTTAAATGTGGATGTGTTTTTATAGAAGAAAACAAAAATCATTACAGACGGCTTTGCTCTGATAGTTAATTGAATTTTTTTTAATTTTTTTCTTCTCTTGATGCGTAAACGTTTATTTTGTTAAAATTAAAGAGTTCTCGAGAAACAATAAGGTTTTCGTTTTATTCATTTGAGGTGAAAAAAAAATCGAAATCTTAATTCTGGACAATTCCCCCTGCTTTCCTTTTTATAATTCTCTAAAACGTGATTGTAGCAAATTATCAATTAAAGAGAACTCATATAAGCATAAACGTTTCGTGTTCTTGATATAAGCAATGATTTAAGCAAAAACAAACTAATGGTTATTTAAAATGAGACGGTGATTAAAGGATTATTACTGGGTTGGTGTTAAATAACTGAATTTAATAAGAGCCTATCGTGAATAATTCCCTTAATTCAGTTGTCAATATGATTGGCAACTTTTGGCCAATCTGTTCATTTCCTTTTTCCTTTAAAACATTGTGATACCAATCGTCTTTTAAAGCTTTTTTTAATGACAAACACTCTCTTTGTGTGCCAAAGTAATAAGTGTGTCTTCAAATCGAACTAAACCACTCAATCCGCAAAGATCGCACTAAATTCACTACTCCCTGCGCACCCGTATCCGGTTATAGAGAAAAACTATTATTTACACTCAGCGAAGATATGAATTCAAATGCAACCTCACAGGTCGCGAGGACAGTTCGAGGATGTGAAGTGATCCCTCTACGAACTCTTGATCATACAACACAAGAGGCGTACGGCTGGCTCGTCTTCCTTACAGTCATAAGCCTCATTACCTGTCCCATCACAACTGGTTTGAACACACTGATCATGATTGCTGTAAAAACTAAACACCGAGTGAAAACCAAGTCTAACATTGCTCTAGCTTGTTTGTCTTCTACTGATGCGGTTATGGGAGTGATAGGTCAGCCACTTTCCATCTTTTGGGTGATTGCAGAACTGCAAGGAAACACTTCCAGTACGTACTGTGTACGAATACAATTAGCGAGAATGGCCTTAAGAGTGTTAGGTGTGGCATCACTGTTTCACCTGGCTATGGTGTACGTAGAACGCTACATTGTCATGAAACATTCTTTGAAATATGAAACCTTAGTCACTGAAACTCGCTCGATTACTGTTTCAGCTGTCTTGTGGATCATAACAATTCTTTTACAGTTACCGTGCCTGCAGATAGCATAGACAACGATGATAATAATTATGTTATAGTTCACACTGGTATAATGTTTTTATGCATTGCCGCTATTTTCTTTTGTCAAGTGGTGCCTTGCTTTGAAACGCGTCGCCATGAAAAAGAGATTGCCACTCAGCAAGTTTCCGTTGAAGTCAGAGAGAAATTCGTGAAGGAAAAGAAAGCTTTTAAACTGACCACAACTATACTATTTTTCTTGATGCTTAGCTATTTACCCTTAATAGCTTCCCGACTCCTTGTATCAAAGTTGGTCATAACTTCAGTAAATTCCGCATACTTCGCCTTTTTCACAGGCGTTTTTACAGCGTGTTCCAATTCCCTTTTAAATCCAATTATATATTGTGTGCGAATTCAACAGTTTCGAGTTGCGTTGAAGGAAATTGTGCTAAGAAAATCAAACATAAAGGCTTTGAACTGAATCAATGGAAACTATCCTTTTAATTAAGGTTTCAGTGAATACTTTGACAGCAGAAACTTTAAACCAATAGGTCCAACGTTTCGATGATGATCGTTCAGTGTAAACAAAAAGAAACCTGCAGGCTTTTTTTCGTGGTTTGAACTTGCAATAGCGAAGAAAATCACCTGACATTTTTGTTCCTTTGGTGACCATTTAGGACCGAAACGTAGGGTTCATGAAGTCCATTTCACGATAAACATTGGTTTATGATCTTAGATGATCAACATAAGTTTTCGCGAAGTTAAAAAGCGGCAGTCTCGAGTTAAAAGGGCCGGGCACTTATTCCTTACAAAATACAACTACAATATGTTTATACTACTACATGAGAAATTTCTGCAATTTGATTGGCTTAGAGCAGTGGTATTTCAGCTTAATCTGATATACCTACATGTGAAAATTACAACCTTTTGCGGGTAATGGTATAAACAAATAATAGCATGATTTGCACGTGATTTTTGGCATAAATACCACTCGTGACATTTCACGTATAACCATTTTGAAATATCACTCGTGGTATTTATGCCAAATATCACAACAAATCATGCTATTACCTATACTAATAAACAAAAAGAAACCAGGCTTTTATTGCAATAGCGAAGAAAATCACCTGACATTTCTGTTCCTTTGGTGATCATTTAAGATCGAAACTTAGCGTTAATCATGAAGTCCATTTCACGATAAACATTGGTTTACAATCTTAGATGATCAACATAAGTTTTCGCGAAGTTAAAAAGCGGCAGTCCAGAGTTAATAGGGCTGGGCACTTATTCCCCTTGTAAAGTAGTCAGCTAAATTCGGATTTGACACCACTGTATATCGCCCATATAATTGGGAAACTTAGTGACTAAATAATGTTGGATGATACGTTTACTTATTATTAATGTATAAGGTATTCTTTGATCTTAAAAATTAAAAACGCGAAGGATCGTGCAAGATAGAAAACGAATTTAAAGGTATGTATGTAAAAATAACGTCAAAATGTTGTACTGACAAGTTGTTTATCTATAGATCCAATGTAAAAACGGCTGCTGGATTAATATAATTCTATTGTTTAAATTAAAATTAGCCTGAGTAGCCTCGTTCTTAACTAAAAAATTCAAACGAGTACATTATCTCAAGGGACGCTAGTCAGGCTAATTGTAATTCAAACAAAAGAATATTAATCCAGCAGCCATTTTTGCTGTTTTGCATGTTTTTTGCACGTTTCGCAACATTCTTGCATGTTTCGCAACATTTTCGACTGTTTTTGGTTTTGCTGTCTTCTAAGATATTGAAGTGGGAAGGGATTACAGGAGCAAAGGTGTAGACACATGATAATCAACTGAAAGCTCGATGTTAGCCATGCGGACTGTTTTTCTATCTTTGCCTCCTTTTGTATTTTCTGCGTTATTTTTTACTTTCTTTTAACGTTTTGAACGATTATTTTCATGTTTAATTCAATTTGGCGGCGGTTTCTTGACATTGCTCCTTTAAATACTGGGAGTTTCAATCTGATTGAGTGCGGAGTTGGAAGATGTTAGTGTTAAAAAGAACTTATTTAAGTCTTTTTGGAGAATAGATTACGCCCTAGCTTTTATACTGTAGTATTATGGTGAGAGAGACCAGAGAAAGTTTAGATACGAAAATTGTTTTCTGATGAACAATCTTTTGCCATCACTAGCCGAATCGGCACTGAGAGAGCAATCAGAGGCGGCATTCACAGGCTACTTGTTTCTGATGTGTGTGTACAGAGTCCTCAAGCAGTGTAAGCTTACCGTTTTAATAAAAGCGGGGAATATTGAGTTATTAATTGAGGGTCTGATTTACCAAGAGTATTTAAATTTGCAATAAATATATGTTGGAAATCATGACAGGAGGAAATCAGTTTTAGCATGGTTCTAGTTAGCGCGAGGTTCCAGTTACAGAGGGTTCAAGTTACCTGGAGTCGACTGTACACTTTGTTGAAAGGTATTTTCTCCTTCCCCTCCATTGCCCTGGCCGAGCAGCCATGTTAACAATGCAATAATTTCTTTAAAAATTATAATGTGCAACTAGTTCTTACCCAGGTTGTGCTTGGTTAGGAAACAGTATATGCCACTTGCACATCTCCCATAATGCACTTTATTTGCCCCCACAATTTTTGCATAAGTATTGTTTGCAATTTCTCTTGGAACAACTGTAACACCCAGGAGAAGTGAAAAACAAAGGTTATGCAAAATTTGGGGGAGGGAAATTAGGTACATTATGGGAGATGTGTAAGTGGTGTATATCTGTTCCGTTGTGCTATGGCGTTATGAATAAAATGCACCATTGTTTGGATTAACTAGCGACATGGAATTCAGGAACTTCTGGAGCTTAGATGAAATTCCAGAGACTATATTGTGTGAAAAGTAAAATAAACAAATGAAGGTGTTGATTGCATTTTTTTTTATGACATAAACATGCAGACCAAGTGCAGTGCAAATTCATTTCTGAGCAGCAAAAATTTGAAATACGAAGTACACGAGCAGGCATCTAAAACTAAACTATAAATCCCGAAACAAGGGCCCGTTTCTCCAAAGTCCCAGTAATTTACCCTGGCTCCAAAAGCTGTAATTAGTTTTGCAGATTATATTATAAACCTATCAGTACGTTAACTAAACAAAAATTAATGAAATGGTATATTAGCTAAGACCTGTGCTTTTATTATTCAGATTTGACTCTTAATATTTGGCTTGGGACCCAAAAAATTACCAGGACTTTCCAGACATAAGACCCAGGTGTGCTGGTACCCCCCCCCCCCTCAATACCCCTCACCCTATTAAGATCTGAATCAGAATTTCATACACTATTTCAGATGGATGTCCTATATCCTCGAACGTGAACTGTGATACATGACACATGGCAAACAATTTCATTATCTCATACAACATGGCCGTCGTGCATGCGAATCGCATCACTATTTTGACTTAGATTTAAAATTGACCACTACAGAAAATATCATAGCATACAACAACGCTCTTTGTCTGTCACCCCAAAAATTTGCATAAGCATTGTCTTCAGATTCCTTGGGGCCATTTTAACTCCCAAGAGCAACTGAAGACAATGCTTACGCAAAATTTTCAAGGGGTGACAAACAAAGTGCACTATGGTATGTTATGGTATTTTCTTTAGTGGTCAATTGCCCTACAGAAAAATTACAAACAAAAGTATGGAAATTTCCCTTACCGCGTTAGAAATTGTCCTCTTGCTTCTCAACAATTACTTTGTTCTCAAGTCCAAAGATCCAGTTTTTAAGATGGGTGTATAATGTGTTTCTCTTTGAAAAGGAGTTTTCCAAATACACATCGTATAGCGAGTTCGTAACGCCATTGGAATTTGTTCTTTTTTTTCGAAAAGATCCGCATATGCTCCTTTAAATGTTGCTACAGCAGTACAAGGTGCGCTGCAGCAAAACAGCAAATAACAACTTCCAAGTTTCTCGTGTTCAAGCTCCAATGATCAGATGCTGTAAATTATTTAAAATAATAAAATTGGGCTTAACAGCCTTTTTGACGGTATTAAGTGAACACAAAAAGCGAGAAAAATCGGTTAAATATCCTTGTCGACCCTTGGCCCGTTACAGTGAGAATACCGACGAACAGAAGTTTATAACCTTCCTCAAAGTAAGCATTTGCCGCCATCTTGGAAATTATTCAGTTTATGTCCAGCTTACACAAAGGGTTTGAATTTCATCAGAAAATTCGCTGTACGGCTTAAACGCTTCTTTCATCCAAAGTGTGACTTTGAGTGAAAAAATGGTATATTTCATGGTAGAAAGCCACAAGTGCACCGGTAATATACACTCTGTGTATTATGTAGTATTGTGTCTTCTCCCTAATAGCTAGTGGTAGTTACTAGTAGTTACTAGTAGTTAGTAGTAGTTACTAGTAGTTACTAGTAGTTAGTAGTAGTTACTGGTAGTTACTAGTAGTTACTAGTAGTTGATGGTAGTTTTTGGTATTTACTAGTAGTTACTGGTAGTTATTAGTAGTTACTGGTAGTTACTAGTAGTTGTCGGTAGTTACTAGTAGTTACTAGTAGTTGATAATAGTTACTAGTAGTTACTAGTAGTTACTGGTAGTTACTAGTAGTTACTAGTAGTTGATGGTAGTTTTTGGTATTTACTACAGTAGTTAGTGGTAGTTATTACAGCTGATTTCAGTGCGGTGTATACACCCTGATTTTTAGACATGATTCGACGGTCATGATTCGACCGTCATGATTCGACCGAGAGGTTACCAAGCAGTATAGTATTTTACCTTGAGTATCCTACAGGAATCAAAGCATACAATCTGAAAGTTACTTTGATGATAGCTTGAATATTTCTCTTGTAATTCAGAAAAAAAGGACTGTGATCCATAATTTGTTCTCCTTTTCCGGGATAACAGCTTTTCATACAGTCACGCAATCTAATCGCAATACATGTTATCGGGCGTGTGGACGTCTCGATCAATACGTTTTTCGGCTTTTTTCTCAACTTGTTTTGGGCTTTTACCTTGATCTTTAAGGAAATATCATATTTTACCCTTTTCCAAAAAAAACAAATTTTGCTTTCTTTTATGTATGGTTTTCTTTATATGTGCTTACTAGGGTCATAGGTCGAGGATCGAACATTGTGATATTTTTCAACGGTCGACAAAACAAAACTTTCAAACCCTCCAGCAAATTCTTTCACAACGGCAGACTGATCAATTTATCTGTTGATTTCTTCGGCAAAACGTCAAGGTTTCCTGTTATTTTTTAACCATGCAGAAGCTAAGTAAGGACGAAAAAGTACCAACTTGAAGAAATAAAAATTTGCCTCCCTGTTAACTAAATCTGCATCACTGTTACATGTAAATTGCGGGTGGTATTCACCAACGGCAAAACACCGAAACCTTGTCATACGGAAGAAGACTAACGATTTACCGTCGGACTATTTCGCTTTTCGCCGTGTTGATAATATTTCGTCCATTATGAAA